ACGGCTGTTTCAAACCGAGCTTAACGGCTTCTTGTTAATTTTTGAAAATATTGACTAAAGGGGTGTTACTAAAACTTTTATAACTTTTGAAATATAAGAGTTAATTTTGTTTTGTAAAAACAATTAAGACATCAATAAAATGTTTTACCTTATGACATTTAATGCATTAGTAGAAAACCTTCTTTTAGTTTAGAATAAATTTGACATATATTGAATTTGGCTAAATTTTTGTAATTTGATGTTACTTTTTATCAAAAAAAAATTAGAAAAATCTATTCCTAATAGTTATTATCAAATACACTTATTGTTTGACAATAATGAAAACAAAAAACCCTTACTTAATTATTTAAGGTTAACTAAAACAGCCTTAATCGAATTGTGAAAGCAAACCACATTTTTCGCAAAATTATGAAAAACGTCGTTATAAGGGGGGATTAGTTGTTAAATGAGTACTTTTTTTAATATAGAAGTTCTTGATTTAGAAAATTATTTTGGAACGCTGATAAAATCATTACATTACAAAATAAAGTTCTAATAATATGGTGTTAGGTAGTTAATAAATAAAAACTCATCAATTCTAATCAAATAATTCATGACCAAAATTGAGTTAAAGGTTTTGAATTAACCTAGCTTTTGGTAGTAGAATTATTTTATGGTACTTGTATCAATAATCTCTTCTCACAAAAAATTAAGTGTTTAAATATACACAAATAGCTGATTTTCTTGAAATCTTTTGATAATTCGTTTTTATTTTCATTAAAAACTGTTTTATAATTAGTTGGTCCATTGATAAGTTCTTCAAGCAGTAAACTATCTTTGAACACCCAGATGATACTAGACTCATACATAATTCATTTAAAACCAGAAGAACATTTGGTCAACTTGGCAATTGTGATAATAAAGTTTACAACTTCTTAATTTATCAAGCTAAATTTTTACACCAACTTGATAAATGAGAGGAGGTATGTAGAGCAGAGGTACTGCGAAAGTAGAACTAACTTTTGATGATAAAAAATGAACGGAGATCTAATATATATAAAAAATGTTACATATTACATAACAAAGGATAAAACGTTTTTTGAATTAACTACATAAACATACAAAATCATATCCAACAAACATACCAGTTGCTCTGATCACAAATTAAAATAGTTAGCTATACATTTGATGCTAGACTTTTATTCCATTCTTTAACCTGAGCAAAGGCATTGCATAGATATAATAAACTTTTGAAAATAGGAACAGAATGGGCATCAACCTAATATATAAAATCATTGTAATAAAAAATTATTATTATCTTGAACAAACATTACAGGCATTAAAACAGAATACAATTCTCTTATTTGTAAATTAAGGATCTTATATAATTTATCTTAGATGTAAAAAGTTTAATTTTTTTTTAACTTTTCAAACATTTAAACTAAATTTGATGACCACAAACAAGACAAAGACCTTGTCTATAAAATGAATTTTTGCCACGCTCTGAACACACAACACACTTTCTCACCTTAGAGGCTTGAAGCTTCCTATCAGCTTTGCTGTGCAATTCAAAGCGTTTTAAAACAAGATGCAGCTTTTGCTCCTGATTTCTAACTGAATGCAACTGCCTTAATTCCTTATTTACGCTATTATGCAAACACTCTCCCTCCTCTTAACTCAGCAACCCAATAGTTTTATTCAATTTTACAAATAGTGGCACATTGAAAATGAGTTCATGCATTTTTCGCGTGATACTTTCTTTTGGAAAGCAAGCATGAAACTCAATAGCAAATAAATGTATATATTGATGAAGCTCAGAAATTTCGGCATCAGAAAGAAATTTTTGCTTAAAAAGAATAGTTTGCAAGTTATTAAAAACACTAAACACATGTACAAATCTATTTTTAATTGCTTCATCACTATAAACTTTGTAGTGTTATTCACTACAAAGTTTATAGTGGTTTCTTAATACTATTTTACAATGATTACCTACAAATACATTACCATGGTAAGCTTGTCGCTCAACTTTCATATCTTCAAGGGCCTTATAAAGAGACCTCTCATAAGTCCCCATGCTACTTATAGATATTTTTTCTAGGTCTTCACACTCTATCTGCAATCGAATATACTCAACGTCTAAAACTTCGCGCTGTGCACGTATAAAAGAAATTTTTTCAGAAATATAAAGGTCAAGACATTCTAAATCTTCACCCTGACATGCTAAACACTCATACTTCTCTATATCACACAATACATTCTTTTGCACCCAATCAATGTTACAATCATATTTAGTAATTAAACACCTGATACTAGCACACTTTTCTTGCTGTTTACAGGTTTTTTTTTTATTGGAGGAGTTTAGAGATATGCATTCAAATTCAGAAATATTTTTATCAAAAGCTAACCAACGAGTCTGTAGATTTGCAACGTCTACAAATTGATTTCCTAATAAACGTAAAGAGTCTGCTGTTTTAGAACATTCAAAGCTTTTAGCAGCCCACAATTCATTCGTTCTCACATTCTCATTATGCGACAAAGACGAAACAGCTTGACAATCCAAAGTCTTACACTCCTTCAACAATAACTTATAAAGTTTTAACACAACTCCTAACATAATATGCAAAACAGGTGGCACTACATTATCTAGAGTTATTATGGGGAAAATCACAGGAGCAATAATTAAATTATGAAACTTATCTAGAGCTCTTAGGTTTCCACCTTGTCTATCTTCACACAAGTTCTCATTGTAAGCACTTTCCAGAGATTGTATTGTCCTCCTTAAGATGTTACAATTAGCAGGTGTGTGAGGCATAGAAGCATGGTTTCTTAGAGAATTCAACTTAACTAGGTCTGTAGAACTAGGAAAGCTAGCAGCTGAACCCTGGTGTCCCAGAACATCATCGATAAAATGAAAATCTCCACCTAAGAACAACCTGACTATTTTGCCTTTTAGCTTAAAATCTGACGACTGAATTCTTTTAATGTCGTTGGCATAATGCCCGAGAACTAAGGCAATATTCTCACGACAGTCTGAACCCTGATACATACAAAATAAATGAACATCATATACAGACCCTGATGATTTAGAATTGACAACTTCAAAATGGAATTTCATATACTTCCCACCCTTATCCCCAGCAAAAAGGAGCCATATCTCTTCGCAAAAACCGACATCAGAATTGAAGTGGTCATGAACGTGCAGACTATTAAAAACCTCTTCAATATAAGTTATCAAATTCTTGACCATCAATACAGGTACTAAACAAGGTGCTTCATTCGCAGATGGATAAAGCAACATGGACTTTACAGTAACATGTTCTTTACTAACATGCATTGTCCGCATTTCTTGTTCTTGTCTTATCTTGGGCTCAGATGGGAGAATCCTTGCACCAAGATTACACAGAATACGTCTTAGCCTACGGAATTCAGTCGTGGGCATCCTTAATTGGCTCTGCAGCTCTACATCATCAGAAACACTTAACTGCCTAACTAAACCCAACTTATTTGCAACACAATGAAACATAGACTTTTCACAAGACACAGAATCACAAAACAACATAGACAAATCACTTTCCAAATCTGAACAAGCTAATAATCGAAGGAATATTAAAGCAAGTTTAGATCGTCTAGCTGCAGCATGCCTACCTAACTTAGAATAAGATTTACCATCTCCTAACTTAATGTAAGTATATTTCTTACCAACTATTGGCTTTTTAACTGATATAGTCTGTGGATTACTTAATTTAAACCCACAGAATAATTCAGAGGAACCAATGTTGTCATAGTCTAAATAAGAATCAACGACAACTAAATCCTTATCACTGCTAGCAAAATATTTGCAAATTTGGCAACTGTTCTTGTTTATATCACTGATTTTTGCATTTTTTTTTTTTCAAATTTAAATTTTTTTAGCTATCTTACATTTTTGGCACGAGCAGATGCAAATTTACGGTGTGCTGTTTTTAATTTTTTTATTTTTTAAAGTTGGAACTGCTCCTCCTGTTTTAGCCTAATACTCATAGTCTCTAATTGAGAACTTAATGAGTTACAATGTGCGTTGAGAGCCTTGTTTTTAGAATTTAAATATATAACTTCAGTTTCCAACTTTGATACCTGTATTTTTAAATTATCTATTTGCTCCACATTATTTTTTTCTTTAGAAATTAATTGTTCAACTTGACTACTTAGTTCCTTATTCCTATTTAAAATATAAAAATTATCTGCATCTGCTGATTTTTTTGTTTGTTTGTGGAGCTGGAGACAGTTGCATTTTAAAAAAATGCTTCGTTTTTTGAAGCTTTAAAATACTTTTTAGAATCTTTTTTTCTTTGTTTTATTTTTCGGCACATTTTATTTAACATATCAATATTAGGCATATTAAACTCAATTGGCAACAGAAAACTTAAAAAAGTAAACAACGCTTTTGGATGAAAAACTGTTAATAAAATTGAAATCACATTGTTAGTGATCTTACTAGTGTCAATTACTCGCTTTACAAAATTAAAGTTATACTCATTTTCCCAACCATCTTCCCAACCGATGTACAGTTTCAAAATTTCCCTCTCAGTTGCATACATCACATAAATAATAATATTTTAATAATAATATAATAAAAGAAATTAAATAAAATAATATTTACAAATAAATACACTAAAAATAAAAGAATTAAGCAACTTATCTGAGATTAGTCGAATATCCACGAGGAAATAATCCACGAAACTTTGCTTTATAATCTTTATTGATATAGTAATAAAATTATAATGCAAACAACTTAAATAGAATAATATTGACAAATAGATGCACTAGATAAAATCGGATTAGTCAACTTATCTGAAATTAGTCAAATATCCATGAGAAATTAATCCGCGAAACTTTGTTATTTATTCTATAAAATGTGTCTCGTTTGTTTTGTTTGTTTTCTTAAAATGCATCCGATAATCGTTGGGGACGTAACGATCAGAGTTTGCGTCACCGCTTTAAAATGTAAACAAGAATTTATGCAAAAAAATGTCGCTAAACATGCCAAGTTTGAAAACATATTTGATAACATAGCTAGAGGTACAGAAAATAATTTTTTGATTTTCTTATTCATATAAGGTTGAAGTTTTACTAAATCCACAGACTTTTCAAAAATGTTATGTTTTTTATTCAAAACGAATAAAAACAAAAATATAAATGCATTAAAAACTAACTTTCTATATAAAAACTTGCAAAGTCTGTGGAAATCTAGATAGAACAGACATTCATTAATAACTGTTCTGAATTTCAACCATTGACCATGTAGCTATGTTATCAAATCTGAGTTGGCCTAAGACAGGTTTTGCGAAAAAATCGCAAAAATCAGAAAAGTGATGCCAAATTATTTACAATATTTTTACAGCTTTCATTTTTATTCCATTTAATGTAAATGTTTATTTAACAAGGAAAGATAGATCTTTTATATTTTTTTTATTTGAAGATGAAAGCATTTATAGAAAAAAAATACTATTATTTTAAAGTTAATGAATTTTTATACTTTTTATGCGGAAATACTTTTTTTTTTGATAAACTCGTGACGTCAGGCTCGCTTTTATATTGAGTGAAACAGCCGTGTATCCTCCCTCCCACCCCCTCTCCCCAAACGTGAAGACAATAAGTCGATAAAATAAAACTTTATATGGTCATAATATTTGAACGCTGAGATAAAATTCTATAAAACTTAAAATTTATCGATGAGTATAAGTCTTGTTGAGAAAAGTACAAAAAAATTTTTATCAACTTTTTGCCCCTCACGTTTGGAGTGATGAGGAGGGGGGAGGTATAAGGATGAAGTCAAAGAACTTTTTCATTCCCAGCCTCCAATCATCGTGATCTTTTGCAAAGCCCCATTATTTGACATAAGTATAAACGTACAAATGTTTGGAATTTGCTCCATTTCAGGAAGTTATCTCAAACACCAAAAAATTTTGGATCCGTCACTGCCGGTTAGCATACATAATGCTAGGAATCTAGATCAGTTGGTCTACATAATTCTCTACTCGTAAACTATATGTCATTAATTGAAAAAAGTTTTAGGTAATTTTATATAATATAGCCGGTAGCCGGTAGGTAGCTTTGAGGCGTCGTTTTGTCATCTTAAGGGCTGTTCATTAATTACGTCAACAATTTTTTTGAAATTTTTACATCCCCCTCCTTTGTCAACAATTTCTCAAATTTCGAGAGACCCC